CTACTTTAACACTTGCCGCATTTTGTAGTTTTGAGTAGCAATTAGGCGGGTTTTGTTGTGAAAACCTGGCAACCCTGGTCACGCATATTGACAGTGTAAAATGATTTACGATTAGCCGTGTCGGAAATCCAACCACGGATTGGCATGTTGTTATCTCAGAAACAGGCTCAGCCATCACATTGAATCAGGTAAACTGGTTATATATTTATGTTTCAGTATAATTACGCACGCTATACCAGGGGCGGTTCTAAACCCTTTTTAGGTGGGTTTCAGCCCCCCTATCTGTCACCTTAGCCCCCCAAAACTATCTTAACGATCAGGCCAGTGCTGCTTCCTCGAGAAAGTTTTTCATTCTCACGTGTTTTAAGTCTTGTCAGTTTAAACATTCAAGTAATTTTAAGCCTTTTAAGCCCAAGACATCTCAGTGCGGTACTCACGCACTGTGATGGAGCGTTTCGGCGTTTGGATGTTGGGGGTGCGCATGTCCTAAAAGGTTGAAAACCCCTGCAGTAGAGGATGTAGAGATAGGACACAGGTTAGCAAGATTGCGTTGGCGTCTGCGTGGGATGTTAGAGCGTTGTCGAGAGACAGGCGGAATGGTTTGGAAACACATGATAGAAATGGAAAAGAGAGGACAGTTAAGAAGAGTGTGTAAAGAGAAGATAAAAAAATATACTTAAGTGTGATGGGCGAGCTCGTTGAAGTCGCGCAGGTAAAGTCGCATGTCTTTACCCTCGTTGGTCTTCACACAAGAAGGGCTGAACGCTTCCGCTGATGCTTCCGTGTCAGCGCACAGGCATCAAATAAATACACAGTAAAGTGAAACAGCTGTGGCCGCCTTCTAATTAGCACAGCCAATAGCCTATAGCAGGGCAAATCCTCCAATCGAAACTACAGTTCGCACTTAAGCGCAGGAAGGGAGCAATGCAAACAACACAGGCTCCTTCTAAGCTGAGGGCAGTTATTAGAATTACCAGTAAGTGCAATCAAAAATACAAACTCCAACGAAAATACAAAGTATAAATAGGTAGAAAACGAAATATTCCTTCCTAGCAGCAAGTAATAATTTAAACAACAGATCTATAACAAGTATTATCGCTTGTCGCATATGTATCTTATGTAATTTATAAAATATAAGATTTTTGTGTGGCAGAAATAGTCTCACTTCATGAGCATTTTCTCTGTAAGTGGTGTTTGTAATGTTGGTGGTGTGTTTGCTCTGCTCAGGACGTGATGGTGGTGGGCGAGCCCACGCTGATGGGAGGAGAGTTCGGGGACGAGGACGAGCGTCTGATCACGCGGCTGGAGAACACGCAGTTCGACGCGGCTAACGGCATCGACGACGCGGACAGCTTTAACAACTCGCCCGCGCTGGGAGCCAACAGCCCCTGGAACAACAAGCCTCCATCCAGCCAGGAGGGCAAGAACGACAACCCCACCTCACAGGCGTCTCAGTGAGACTCGGGCTGGGGGCGGGGCCGGGGGCGGGGCCAGGGGCATCTACCTGCAGTAGCTGGTCTTCCTGTCAGCAGAGGAAGTGAACCTGGAGGACCAGAGATGAGCGTCACACCACAACAGAAACCGTTTCTCGACACAGGACAATTTTTATTCACACGCTCGTGGTTTTGTTGGTGATTTATGAGGAGCCTGTAGATAGTTCATATGTTTAAGTTAAGACGAAGCGGAGAAATCTGACCACGTAAAACACCAACAAGACCAAGACACATCCAGCTCCTGTTTCACTCACAAGAAATGACATTTTGCATGAGGAAAATATAAAAAAACAATCATTTTCAGTTTTAATACGGTTTTTGTATGGAAGCTCGTTTCTGCCATAAAAAATTGTATTGTAATTGTAAGAAAATAGTCTTTTTTTTTTCTTTTTTTTTCTTCTGTGAATTGGCCTTTATAACTTGCAATCGTGAGTTTAGATCTCAATTCTGAGAAACGTTAGCATTGCAAGAAAGCCAAAACGGTGAGATCTTATCTCACAATCGCAAGAAAAGATCAGAAATGCCAGGAAAAAAGTCGCGATTGCAAAAAAAAAAATTTTTTATTTAGTGGCGGAAACAAGCTTCCGTAGTTTTGTTACTTTATTGCAATGAGAGAATTAAAAAAAAAAAGTGAATCGGCATAAATCAAAACACTAGCATTTTTATTCTCTCGTTTTGCATTACAGTAATGAGATGCAGGGAAATGTTTAATCATCATTTCAATGCAAAAAAATACAAATCTAACGGTTGTAACAATACACCAGATATTTTATTCAGCGAAATGTCATTTCTTATTTTTTGGATCGAAACGTCAAACACAGCAGATTAATTTCGACAGTCTCGCATCTTCCTCTGATTGCTGGAGGATGTTTAATATCACGCGTTTTGGAGAATTTTAATCCGTGTTTTATACCAGCCTCTATTTCCCTCGAATGTTTTATTATTTTTATTTTTTATTTTTTTTTAACCGATGTTGAAAGCTGCAAACCAAGGAGTAACCGAACCGTCGAGGTCCTTAAAGCCTCAGATTCTATTGGTTTGTCCTATGTTTAAAGAGAGTGGTTTAGCGTGGGCTCTGATTGGTTTGTGTACTTGTGCTTGTATATTTAACGTAGTAGCAGAGTTCTGTATAACTGTATTGAGATGTATTCCTCCTTAGAGTTACATAAAGCCATTCTGATCTAACGTGTACAAAACGCAAATCGTGAACGATGAAAACACACCAACCTCGTCTTTTCCCCTCTCAATTATTTTGTTTTTATTTGCATACGACTGATGAATTGAAATCAAGGGCACTGTGTTTGTTGCCTGATTCTGCCGTTTGTTTTCTATCAGTCCGTCTCTTGTTCTTCTGTTCCTCGTGTGTTTACGAGAGACAAACTGTGAACAGCTAGTCATGTTTCAGTAACATGTTAGTTGTTGTTTTATTTCCCCCGCACACCCGATACTGCTGAAACTCAATTTTTGTACTGTTTGATTATTGTTTTCTCTCTCTTTCTGACCAGCTGAATCGATCTGAATGAATTAAAGGTCTGCACTTGTTACTGAAACAAACTGGTGATCTTTTCCACCTTTAACCTTGTAGATGCTCCTGTTTGATATAACTTTGTTTTCTTAATTTCTGCCCTTGATTAAATTAATGTATGGAACCAATAAAATATGAATTTTCACTTTAAGGATTTCTGCTTCTGTGTGATTTATAGTTTATTTAAATATATAATATTTATGTATTTAATTAATTTATATTTTAAATATATAATATTTATGTATTGAATTAATTTATATTTTATATTTTAAATATATAATATTTATGTATTGAATTAATTTATATTTTAAATAGAATTCAAATATTTACAAGTATAAATATAAAAATGCAAATACTTTAGAAATGTATTTATATATTTTACAGTGTGTGGAGTTCAGTCATCATCAGTTGAAAAATATTTTTTAATATAATTATTAATAATTATATAATTATTAGAATTAATAATATATATTTAATTAATATTCATAATTATATTGTATATAATTAAAAAGTGTGTATATATATAATATAATTAATATTAATATAATATATAATTATACAATTAAATATATAATTGTATATAATATTAAAATTATTACATAATAGTAATAATGAGGTAAATTATAATATAAGTCAAACATTGAAGTGAGCTGCTTTTGTCTCTTCTGAGGAAGATTCATTCTCGGAGAAACTTTGATTAGATTTATTTAATGTTCATCTGATCTCATTTTGTAAGTGACTTTTCTTTCTGTTATAAAGACGTTTTCTTTGTATTGTTTGACTACTCAAAAGAGAATATAGGAAAATATAACTTCATTAACTTTAAAACCACGGTTAATTTTTTTAAGGGATTTGTATTTGTGTATTCTTTGTTTTGTTTGCTTTGTCTTTATAACTGTACTTCCTTAACGGTGTGATGTTTTCTACTGTTTAATAAAGAAATCAGGAAAATTTTTCATGATACGCTCCGAAGTCCCGATCTGAATCAAATGATTCGCGATCCGATTGGAGCGATTCGAAACTGAATCATTTTGCGGCGCAATAGTTTAACTGATTCGGAGTTTCGAAAAGCTCCGTTACACCATCACTACCTGCTTTTTAAAATCATTACAAGTGATGTCGAAATTCGAAAATGAGTGGCTCATTTGATCTATTTTTTTCTAGTGAATCGCTGAATGATCGAGTCACGAGTTTGAATCATTCGGAGCGGTTCCAACGTAAATGACTCACTCAATTGAATCGGTTCGTCTGTTCCTCGTCTTCAGTCATGTTTACACGACACTGTCAGCTCTACTGGCTCAGCTCGCTAGTTTTATCACATTAACTGAAATAAGCGAAAAAAGAGTGACGCTTACAAATAAAATATCCATATTTCACATTCTAAAGATAACATCCAACACAAATCTAGAACATATTCAGGCGAGGAAACCGGTTTACTGTTAACTAGTGAAATTCATTCAGTCGTTATTCATTACGACTGATTATTATCCACTGTGTGTTTTAATAAAGAACGAACCGTCGCGGAATAATTTGAAACAAGAATTAGCGGGAAAGAGGCACTGTCACGTGATAGCTGTTACTTTTCTCACCGTTGCATAGGATGATCCAATCACAACAATTTGTGTTGACTCGATACACTTTTTTTATTTTATCTTATTTATTTATTTGCGATTTATGTCGGATTCTGCTTAAAGGAATGAAAACATTAAACTTCCCCGTGTCTTCAATTAGGAAAAACACATCCTACGACTTTAATGGAAAGAAATCTGCACACGCGGCATGACGTCGACCCTGGAATTATGGGAGATGTAGTTTTTCAAAGGCGCCTCATTCTAATTGGCCGAAGCTTGTCACGTGACCCTCCTCCGGTCACACGTGGGTTAAAATCTTTCCTGTGGCGCCGAATCGACATGTTTTATAATCAAAACAAATGTTAATAAACGTCTGTGTGGGACAGATATTACCGTTTAAAGTCCGAGTCTAGTCGCGGGATGACGCAGAAACAGCCGTTAGAGGCCCGGTTCGTGGCTGATGAAGATGTTTTGGATCATATTGTAGAGAAACAGAAAGGTAAAGGTTTCTTTCCAGTTTTATATTAAAAGCGTCATACGATCTAACAAAACTTTAAAGGCACTCACGTAACTTTACTTTTACTTTCAAACTTTAAATTACTACATAAACAGTCATTTCTTTCTATCTATCTATCTATCTATCTATCTATCTATCTATCTTCTTCAGTGTGTGTGTGTGAGAGTGAGAGAGAGAGAGAGTGTGTGTGTGTGTGAGAGTGTGTGTGTGTGAGAGTGAGTGTCTGTCTATCTGTGTGTGTGTGAGAGTGAGTGTCTGTCTATCTGTGTGTGTGTGAGAGTGAGTGTCTGTCTATCTGTGTGTGTGTGAGAGTGAGTGTCTGTCTATCTGTGTGTGTGTGAGAGTGAGTGTCTGTCTATCTGTGTGTGTGTGAGAGTGAGTGTCTGTCTATCTGTGTGTGTGTGAGAGTGAGTGTCTGTCTATCTGTGTGTGTGTGAGAGTGAGTGTCTGTCTATCTGTGTGTGTGTGAGAGTGAGTGTCTGTCTATCTGTGTGTGTGTGAGAGTGAGTGTCTGTCTATCTGTGTGTGTGTGAGAGTGAGTGTCTGTCTATCTGTGTGTGTGTGAGAGTGAGTGTCTGTCTATCTGTGTGTGTGTGAGAGTGAGTGTCTGTCTATCTGTGTGTGTGTGAGAGTGAGTGTCTGTCTATCTGTGTGTGTGTGAGAGTGAGTGTCTGTCTATCTGTGTGTGTGTGAGAGTGAGTGTCTGTCTATCTGTGTGTGTGTGAGAGTGAGTGTCTGTCTATCTGTGTGTGTGTGAGAGTGAGTGTCTGTCTATCTGTGTGTGTGTGAGAGTGAGTGTCTGTCTATCTGTGTGTGTGTGAGAGTGAGTGTCTGTCTATCTGTGTGTGTGTGAGAGTGAGTGTCTGTCTATCTGTGTGTGTGTGAGAGTGAGTGTCTGTCTATCTGTGTGTGTGTGAGAGTGAGTGTCTGTCTATCTGTGTGTGTGTGAGAGTGAGTGTCTGTCTATCTGTGTGTGTGTGAGAGTGAGTGTCTGTCTATCTGTGTGTGTGTGAGAGTGAGTGTCTGTCTATCTGTGTGTGTGTGAGAGTGAGTGTCTGTCTATCTGTGTGTGTGTGAGAGTGAGTGTCTGTCTATCTGTGTGTGTGTGAGAGTGAGTGTCTGTCTATCTGTGTGTGTGTGAGAGTGAGTGTCTGTCTATCTGTGTGTGTGTGAGAGTGAGTGTCTGTCTATCTGTGTGTGTGTGAGAGTGAGTGTCTGTCTATCTGTGTGTGTGTGAGAGTGAGTGTCTGTCTATCTGTGTGTGTGTGAGAGTGAGTGTCTGTCTATCTGTGTGTGTGTGAGAGTGAGTGTCTGTCTATCTGTGTGTGTGTGAGAGTGAGTGTCTGTCTATCTGTGTGTGTGTGAGAGTGAGTGTCTGTCTATCTGTGTGTGTGTGAGAGTGAGTGTCTGTCTATCTGTGTGTGTGTGAGAGTGAGTGTCTGTCTATCTGTGTGTGTGTGAGAGTGAGTGTCTGTCTATCTGTGTGTGTGTGAGAGTGAGTGTCTGTCTATCTGTGTGTGTGTGAGAGTGAGTGTCTGTCTATCTGTGTGTGTGTGAGAGTGAGTGTCTGTCTATCTGTGTGTGTGTGAGAGTGAGTGTCTGTCTATCTGTGTGTGTGTGAGAGTGAGTGTCTGTCTATCTGTGTGTGTGTGAGAGTGAGTGTCTGTCTATCTGTGTGTGTGTGAGAGTGAGTGTCTGTCTATCTGTGTGTGTGTGAGAGTGAGTGTCTGTCTATCTGTGTGTGTGTGAGAGTGAGTGTCTGTCTATCTGTGTGTGTGTGAGAGTGAGTGTCTGTCTATCTGTGTGTGTGTGAGAGTGAGTGTCTGTCTATCTGTGTGTGTGTGAGAGTGAGTGTCTGTCTATCTGTGTGTGTGTGAGAGTGAGTGTCTGTCTATCTGTGTGTGTGTGAGAGTGAGTGTCTGTCTATCTGTGTGTGTGTGAGAGTGAGTGTCTGTCTATCTGTGTGTGTGTGAGAGTGAGTGTCTGTCTATCTGTGTGTGTGTGAGAGTGAGTGTCTGTCTATCTGTGTGTGTGTGAGAGTGAGTGTCTGTCTATCTGTGTGTGTGTGAGAGTGAGTGTCTGTCTATCTGTGTGTGTGTGAGAGTGAGTGTCTGTCTATCTGTGTGTGTGTGAGAGTGAGTGTCTGTCTATCTGTGTGTGTGTGAGAGTGAGTGTCTGTCTATCTGTGTGTGTGTGAGAGTGAGTGTCTGTCTATCTGTGTGTGTGTGAGAGTGAGTGTCTGTCTATCTGTGTGTGTGTGAGAGTGAGTGTCTGTCTATCTGTGTGTGTGTGAGAGTGAGTGTCTGTCTATCTGTGTGTGTGTGAGAGTGAGTGTCTGTCTATCTGTGTGTGTGTGTGTGAGAGTGTGTCTGTCTGTGTGTGTGCGCGAGTGAG